AAATACATAAACCAAATTATTTTCTTCCAGATCTAAGATGATTTTTCTATAGAAAAATTAAGTATATGAATCATTAAATCAGTGCATACTTGGTTAGACATTGAGCATTTTATGATAACAAGCTGTAAATTATGGATCGTAAATAAGTTATAAGCCACTATGTTACGAGTTCTATGGGAAAAAACAAGACCATATCAATGTTCGTATCGAATTCCATTGTGTTAGGTGTTTGTGCTCTCCTAATCAATCATATATTGAACCTCCACTTGCAACTACTACAAGTTGGCGAAGTCATTGACGTATATTCGTATCTTCATTTTCGATCCAAAACAAGGACTCATGCATTAGTGTGATTAAGGTGAAGTCCTTAGCACATCCTTGATGAGTGTTGGTGTGACGTTCGATTTTAGTCGGATAGCATGTAAGAGAATAAATATTGAATGACCATGTTGTTGTATATCTTTTATATGTTGGTACATACAGTATTTTCTAATGATATTATTTTTTTATGATTTTTATTATAGACAAACATATATATATATATATATATATAAGATACGTCAAGTACTTTTATAAGATTTGAATGCTAGGATGCATAATGTGTGGACTTTGGGTTATCTACTATAGTTAACATTATGTCTTAGAATTTTATTTTTTAGTTTTTTTTTTGTTTAGGAAACTCAAAATTTTAGGTGCAAATATTCATCTCTTAATAATAAATGTTTGTATTTATTTCAATTTCAAAAAATTAATGAGTGAAGTTTTAAGTTTCGTATTGTTTTAATTGGAAAAAAATTTATATAAAGAATCTAGGCGAAAGACATATGTTTTTCATAATAAAATTTTTATTCCTTTTATCTTTTCTTACTCGTAAATTTACATCAACCTCTTTATGATTATACCTACATGTAAAATATTCATATCACTATAGAAATGAATTCAACGATATACATATATGAGGCATTGTTCCCTAAGGCATAAGAGAATTGATTGAAGCTTCTACCATTGTTATCCTTCATCAAGTCATTATATCTAAGTCATTGAAGCAGTCGATTCCTCCTATAGATCCCTCGAGCCAACTAACTCTCTTGGCATCTACCTTCAGATATGACATTTGTTATATAAAAGATGTCTCTTCATATATGCTCGAGTGGTACGAGCTTATGAAAGGGGCTTGTAGACCGACCTAGAGTCTATAGGTAGATAATCATCATCAAGAGGTTTCATTATAGATAATGTAGTAGAATCGAGGAGTAATACACCCTACACTATCGAATGATATGTATATTACTCTAAATGCAATCGCTTTTTAACGAGGCACATAAGAATTTGATGATAGTGATATCCAAACACCTTTGACCGAATCCCTCTAATTGAATGTGTTTCAAATGCGGATCAATTTTCATTCCTTCTATAAACTTATCATTTAATAGTTGTGAGGCTCGACCCAGCCCAAGATTTATCAACAACATTAATGTCCTCATCTGGGAAAAGAGAGGATCTTTTAAAATAAATTAGTTAGATACAAAATGAAGTTTGAGAGAGATGACCCGACTCCAGGACTGGTTAGAGGAAGCAAAATAAGCTCATACGATGATGTACAGGGAGCTCAAGGAACTGAAGTAGTAGCTTGACAAACAACATCGATTAGAGGAGGATGAGGAGAAAAAGAGGGTGGTTGAACTCATCATTAAAAATCTAATTCGAGAACATTGGTCGAGGAGCTAGCCTATCAACTCCATGTAGAAGAATCACTTTGGCCTCGATACAAAGTCAAGGGAGCCATCAAGTGTTAAGAGTCAACAGGATTCACATGACAGAAGCTGTGAAAATGCTCCTCGAGTCGCTACTCAAAACATCTGCTATATGAGGAGGAGAATGAGAGATAAGAATAGGAGGTAGTAGCTAATAAGGCCTAGCCTATATCCCATTGATTCTCTCCTTTTTATAGAGACCCCCCTGTCAACTTAACTCTAATGGATCCTACCATATTGGGATTGGATCTCTATTCAACTACCTAAGCCTCTTAGATTAGTGGATTTCTATCCAATAATCTCTTATTGCCTCTTATTGGATCTCATATATAGGATCTAATAATTTAGGGCTTATTAGATATCTAATAAGATAGGGCTCCAACGTATATCTCATATTCGAACCTTTACTTGTCGTAACACCTACCATATGTGCGTAGCCCTCTATGCCCAATATCGAGCTAGTTGTGAGTCATACATGTCAGAACTCCTTCTAGCTCAGTAAATTATTATCCTCATAATAATTCACTCGACTCATCGATCGACTGTAGATATACTAGACTACTACGCCATAGTCCACAGATGATATAAGAGAATCAAAATCCATTAAACGTATCTGTCCTTAATTACCATGTATCTGTAATCCCTCATCCATCTAATACCTCAGAGATCATATACCAAATATACCAGGCATAATGCTATCAGGCCCATACAGTTTCTACTTGAGTCTCGCTCTAATCGGATTCACCCAATGAACTTTTTCTCTCTCAATCCGAATGACCTGAGTTGAAGATTTGTTTAACCAAGAACACATGGGATATTCATCTTATGACACCGAGAATGGATGATTTTTTATCGATATTCAATAGCCCTCATAAGGTTGACTACCACTCCCAATGACCGGTTGTGCTAAGTCTAGAACTTCTATACTTATGAGTCTGATATTAAAGAGAACAGTACTTATATAGAATATTCTTGATGTCTCAAGTCTAAGGACCAGATATACCATTGGGATGACAGAATCATTGTCTGATAATAAGGCATCAACAACCATCTAGTATCCCATAAGCGGATCAATCAGTAAACTCATTCTCTAATGAACACTTACACTGTATCCATGATGTCCCCACACGAGTAGCCATGAGACCAGCCACCTTCATTATATGGATAAGTATACAACATACCAGTCTGTCCGGTTATCTCGATGTCCCTCTCAAGGAACTTATAACCGAGATTATTTATGGTCTATATTTAAAAATAAATCGATCTTATTATCGTGATCTCATCACGATTCGACTCTCATTGCATAGATCCATAGACATCATAATATATATAATATATATGGATATCACAATATATCCATGAAATAGATAATATAAAAAGATAAAATACTAAATATATATAATAAGTAAAAAGAGTGAGTGTCATGTCGCATATATCATCACTCACGTGATTGACTTGTAGGATACAAATGACTAACCGTTCTTTTCTTCTTTATTTTTACATGTTTAAAATTTTTCTTCCTCTACTAAAATATAAAGTCTCCCTACTATCATATCTATATTTTCCTTTAATGAAAAGTAAAACTTTTCACAAACTTAGTATATTCTTATGATAACACTATTTGATGTGAAATCGATATAAGTTTTATTTAAAATATTTTTAAAAATTAGATAGGGGGCTTCCCAATTACATCACTCGCTATAACTTTTCTTAGAACTAAATCACCAAACTACAAAAATTAATGTAAAAAAAATTATTATAAAAATTATTGTAATCTCAATCAAAATTCTCAAATGTACTTTAATCAAGTCAAGTTTAGCTCTTAATTTTTTATTTGATATTTTGTCGTCTTAACTATAAGTATAGACTTTGCTCTAACTATTTTGGTCGAGGTAGGAAGGAATTCTCTAGTTGAGAGCTCCATATGATATTTGAAAGTTCATCAATCCAAACACCTTTTGCTCATGTCACTCATTTTTTCAATCCCTCCAAAATAGCTTGATTGGAGATAGTCAATGTACTCATTAAATTTTAAATTATTAAACTAAGTTTCCATTGTCAGTAATGAAAATCTCTGGAACTATGAATTTGGAGATCATATGCTTTAATACGAATCATTCAACATTGCTAAGGGTTCAGTTTTGACTTATTTAGTAAAGTAGTCTCCTCCTCCGACTGTTCAAAACTTTCATTGTCTTAATGCCGAGGGAAAAGAATTCTACAATATCTATTCCTCATTGTGCAAATGGGCATGTAGAGTCGATCGATGTCAGCTCCATAGCAGGTAGTCACTGGTTTTAGGCATTAAGCTGACAGTAATATGTACTTTCATATGTATTTGACAACATCTATCTTCCTATATACTATTAACCTACTCGAGATCTTTTGTTATGATTTTAGTAATGTTTAATTCTATTCAGACATTTTAGATGGGTGTTTAATTTTATTAATATACTTGAGACCTTTTATAATGATGTTACAGTTCGTACAATTATGTGTCATATTATTATGTTGATGAGACGTCTGAGTTGGTATAATAATGATAATAATGTGGCATTCAATCGTGTATATTATTTAATTTCATTAATTAAATATATAATTCTTGTTGAATTAGATTAATAATAATAATAATACTTTTAGTTGTTACAAAAATTACATAAAAATATATAACACTCCAGCTTATATTCTTAAAAAATTGTATATCACTAAATCATTATTTGATTCTCAATTGAAGAAATTAATAGCCATCTTGAACTGTTATGATACTAAATTTTAGACTCAAACTAAATAATATCCATTTTGTATATATATATATATATATCCAAAAATCTAAGTAAAAGACAACTGATAGGTCAAAAAATTCGTACTACAAATAATTATAATTATATTTCATTTTAATTTTCAGAATTTCAACTAATGAATGATTGTCTTGATATAGAAATAATATTCTTCGTTTGTATTTATGGTTACCGCTAATATACTTGTATTCTTGTTAATGTTGTTAACTGTTTTATTGATATACCATCGTTGAGATTGTCGCGGGTGCCTGATGGACCGTCCTGATTTGTTATCCGAGGAGATGGTCAGAAGACTCGGACGCCCTGTAGCTTACGACAAATCCGAAGCGACGAGCGCCACGTGGGCGCATTCCCCCGCCGACGTTTCCGGACACGTCGCCCCGCACTCTCGCTTTCTCTCGAAGGAAGAGCGCCACTCGATCCCAACTCGACCCCCCCACCGCCCCCTCCTCGTTTTAAATCTTCGAACACCAAACGCCTCCCTTTCTCCGCTCCTCCCCCTTTCCCAAAACCCTAAACGATGGATTCGCAGAACCGGGCCCAGGACCTGGCCACCACCGTCCTGGCCGCCGTGGCGCCGCCCGAGATCGCCGCCGCCTGCTCCGCCGTCGACTCCTTCCTCCGGCGCCATGCCTCCGACCAGAGCCGCGCCTTCTTCTCTGTCGCCCTCCCCGCCCTCATCTGCCGCATCTTCGGCTTCGACGACGTCCCTCCCCCTTCCTCCTCCGCCTCCTCCGCCCCGCCCGGCCGCCCTGCGTCCACCGCCTGGATCGACCAGGCCGCCTCCGATCCCGCCCTCGCCGGCCGCCTTCTCGCGCTCCTCGCCCCCGACGGCATACTGATCTCCTCCATCTCCGCCGTCGATCGCCACGCCCTCGTCCGCTACGTGTTCCCCATCGAGCGGCTGCCGGAGTGGATTCGCTTCGCCCTCCAGAGCGACCGGCCGAGCTCCGTCCTGTCCGATCTCTGCCCGCTTCTCAAAGGTAGGGTTAAGGAAGACGCGGTCCAGGGTTCTCCGTACCAGATGCAGCTCAATGCTTTCGAGTACTTCATGTTTTGGTTCGCCTACTACCCTGTTTGTAGAGGAAACAGCGAGGGCTCCGACGCTAATGTGGTTCGAAAGAGCCGGAAGTTTAGGTTGGAGAAATGGACCTCGTCGCTTCCGGTTTTATGTAGCAGCAGTCGCGGATCTAGGCAGAAGCCCGAATGCAACCTGTATCTCCAGCTTCTGTACGCTTATCTTCATGTTTTTGTGCCAAAGAATCGGTTATCCTATCAGCCCTACCGTAGCTCTTTACTTCATTACTCATTGAGCTACGATGACACGGCGTTCCTGCAAGCTGAATTCCTGGTCCACACTTTTGTGCATTTTTGGATGATCGACAATGATTTTTCTCCACTTCCGATGAATGTTTGTCGCTCCTTTGGTTTGTCTTTCCCGTACAAGGCGGTTCTGGGTGAGGCTCCTCCTACCGCTGGACTAGGAGATGTGTTGAAGGTGCTTGTGAAGTACTTGAACTGTGACTCAACTGTTTCAGGTACTGAGACTCGGCATATGATGTATGGTGAAAGTCCCAAGTCGAAGGGTTCACTGGATGTTCTTAGCTCAAGAAACGTAATGCTTTGCTGTGAGAATTCAGTTGGTTCTTGGAATGCAGTGATCCAGAGGCCTTTGTATAGGTTTATATTGAGGAGCTTTCTTTTCTGTCCAATAGGGGCTTCAATAAAAAATGCTTCCCAGGTATTCTATTTATGGATGTCTTATCTAGAGCCATGGAACACTAGTCCAGAAGAGTTTTCTAAGTTTGACCCAGCCGAAATGAAGAAAGAAGTAGGAGGGAATGAAAATATCGATAAAAGCAGCAAAGGGAAGCAGGGGAGACACATAGACTTGCAATACTCTCCGGCCTGGGAAAGTTATGTTTTGTCAAATTATCTATTCTACAGCTCATTGGTTATGCATTTTCTTGGGTTTGCACACAAGTTTCTCCATACAAATGTGGAGTCAGTTATCCAGATGATACATAAGGTATGTGTTACTTCTGATTATTGAATATCTGTCTAGACTCGATAAAAGGTGCTGCACTTCTGTAATCTGTATTGCTTTCATGCCAGTGTTTGTTACTCCATGAATCATTGTATCAGATGCCATGGCTCAATATTCTGTGAATAATTGGTTTGCTTAGTTAGTGATCAATGATCTTATTTCTCTTTCTAGGTAGACAAGTTTGATAATATTCTTATGAGCTTTCCTTTTTAATTTTTTTGCTTTTCTATTTTACTTGCTTGGGAGTTTTTAACAACAATAACAACAACAAATCGAAATGTACTCTATGGATCTTTTTCCTCCAATTAAGATCTGTACATGTTAATATTTCTAATAAAACAAAGAGCATTCAAGTATTTTTGTACTGTTTCTTATAAAATTCTTTTAGATAATCTTCTATGTCTCCTTGCACTACTAATACATTACAAATGGATTTTTTTAAAACTTCCTTTACCTCCTCCAGTTTCATTAATGCATTAACTGTCTAATGACAAATATCTGTATCCTTTCAACATGTTTAATCTTTTAAACTTATTCTCCCTTATTTTATTCTCTCTTGGGATTATACCTAACTGTTTAAAAACAAAAATAATTTTTCTATCCTCCTTATTAATTCCACATATTCACCTAAAACATTTTCATCTGAGCTACCCAAAATGTTTTCATTAATTATTCATTAATAGTCCAATACTTGGCTTTATATGGCCGAACTATTGTCTTGCTATGTTTTAAATTGAAGGGGCACCTGTTGATCACAACAAAATGTTTTATGCCCCTCGCTATTTTAATTATCAGTACTCCATAAACGATATCTTGATCCTCTTCTCCCCTTCACTTCTGTTGTTTTTATGTTAGTCATCTGATACTTTTTAGTGCCACTGTGCCACTATCCAATTTCTTGTATTACCTTGGTAACTATATTGTTTCATCTTTTGACTCACTTGTATCGTACAAAGATGTGGCAGACCACAGAAATGGAGCATTTATGTGGATACTTATCTTAAAAAACTTTTATGTTGGTTTCAAGCTAAATCTCCTTTCTCCAATTTTGCAATCATGGAATATAATGTTTTTATATGCTGTGCTTATCTTGTTCATAACCCATTCCTTACTTTGTCTATTCTTCAGCTATTGTCGTTGTGCTATCCATTCTTTTATTCTTTTATGTACCTTTGCAAATAGGGATAACATGTTTGGTGTCTTAGTTCTCGTATTCCCTGGTAAGATAGCTTCCAAGTACTCTACCAAGTTGTGCAAAGCATTCAATATCTAACTGGCGAGATGTGTCACATATAAACTCATTGCTGATTTTGTTGGCTGACTGGTCTCAAACATGCTGTTGCTTACTGCAACAATAACTGTAGATTTTTTTTTTTTTTTTTTTTTTGTGGCTGAAGGGAATCTGGCCCTCCTGTTTCTTCTATACTTGTATACACTTGTTGTTGAATGCTAGAATAAAGTCCTCGTCTTATCTTGCTTTGTATTGGGTTTTGGCTGGCCGGCTCATGAGTATGCTATGTCTGTAGAGACCAAGATTTTGGGTGCTGGAAGGCAAAAGGAAAACCGAGAGAAATCCTTAAAAAGGAAAGAGAAGTAAGGTAGGGGAATATACTTGGTACTGGTGGAACCTCCCCCTATTCCTCGTTATCTCAAATACTGGTAGCCATCCCTCATGAAATATTTTCTGGCTCCTCCTTCCATGTCTAATAGATAGTTTTACATTCTCACTTTCTCAACCAACCTGAAGCATAGGCCTGAATTTTTATGTAACAGAAAATCTCGTTTCTAGACCCCGTGCAGTTGCAGAACTAATCAGATTAACAAAATTAGTCATGCAAGGAAACTAATCTCTGGGTGTCGAAATTAGAATCATAAAATTTTCAAGAGTACATATTATATTACATTTTTCGTTGACTATGTAGACACCTTTTACACATTCTAATATAATATCACTGAACTTAGAAATATTGACTATCTCATGGTAGTGTTGCAATACTCGTTTTCTTCGACTATGATAGCAGCATTTCTTAGGTTCTGCTGTTCGGTTTTATAGAGTATGTTACCAGTTGTAATGGTCTTCTTTTGGTTGAAGAATCAAGTAAATTTTGCTAAATGTTTAAATTTATTGGGAATTTAAATGCTAAAATACTTTTTTAGACTTACAATTGCGCATTTTGGAATGCATTATCAACTAGCTGTCCAAGTTGATGGCAGTCTTTATATGGTTGTCTTTTCAGGTGCTAAAAATTTTGACTTTGTCCAAGGAACTGCTGGACCTTATTCGGAAAGTTGATGTTGTTTTTCATTCTAAACCAGCTAGACCTTCTGCATATTCCTCTAATGATGCATACAAATACATTCCATCAATTTGTGAACAATTGCAGGTAAAGTTCTGACACGTTCATTGGTCTTCTAAATCTGTTGTAGTTCTGTCTGAATGAAGGAAATGCAGGTGTCAGTTAGTGTGGTGTGTGGTTCTGAAATATATCACATAAAATTTGTTTAAAGATCATTTATGGCAGATCCATGTTTGGAAGTTTCATTTCATTCTGTGGTTTCTTTCCTACTTCTAGTCTTTCCACCAATATGAGATCAACTATATAATACAACTCTGATAAGGCACTTGCAGAATTTCTGTCACGACAGTTCTGTGGTCTCCTCAACTGTCAACTTCATGAACCCTCTTAAGCTTGTGGCAACCTCTATGCTAGGAAGTTCTATGTATATATTAGTCACTGAGAAGCCTAGAAGCCTGTGGCCGTACATGATTCTCCTTTGGTTGTAGTTTCAAGTTCATTAACCCAGAAAACTTACTCTAGAAATCTCCAAGAACTACAAAGTTCCTTGAGATGTGTAATATGAAAACTTTGTTATGATGGGCAACTTCTATGACAAAGGATTAAACAAACATATGAGACACAACATCACAAAGGAGTTCCTTTGGTCCTTTACTCTAAAGTTCCATTGAACTTGAATTTTTGTGCATCTTTATGCTTGGATAAAAGCATAACTACATGCATTGGTTTTTCCTAATGTCTTCCTGATGTCAGGATTGGGAGGATGGTCTCTGTGAAAGTGATGCAGACGGGTCTTTTTTACATGAGAATTGGAACCATGATTTGAGACTTTTCAGTGATGGTGAAGATGGGGCACATAACTTACTTCAGGTATATTATATCACCACGATGTATTTTCACCGACACTTTTTGTCTTATTTGGTAGCTTAATTTTCTAGATGTCTTGAAAATGTGGAGTTTTGCTGATCATACATGGTATGGCATATATTATCATCTCATTGATTTTGTTCGTCATTGTGTTTGGCTGGCGGTCTTCACTTACCATTTTTAATAATAGAAGTATCTTTTTTTTAATTCTTAAATATGAATTGTTGAAACAAATTGATAACTGTCTTTCTTAATTGTTTCTTAGCTGTTGGTGCTGCGGGCAGAACATGAGATCCAAATTTCTTCTGGGGATGTCTCAAATAGCATCCAGGCCCTGGATGCAATCAGATCCCAGATGAATATCCTTTTTGGTGGCCCCTTGAAAAAGCCACGTACATCTACGTCTCAAGCTGATGATCCACATCACGGACGTGGCGAGATATTCACCCCGAAACACCCAGGTATCGGTCAGCGAACATGGGCTGATGTACGATATAAAGGTGACTGGATGCGGAGGCCAATCTCAGATACCGAAGTGGCCTGGCTTGCAAGGCTCCTAATCAGATTCTCTGACTGGTTGAATGAGTCTTTTGGCCTTGGCCATGTTGATGACAGTGACTCAGCAGGCCCAACCATTGTGGAGTTTGGCCGAACCGAAGTGTGTAACGTGGAGGGACCAAAGGAAGCTCTCAATATGGTTCTCGCCCTTCTTGGTTCTTGGCTTAGTCTGTTTGGGAACGCAGTAGTTAGATTCATGAGGGCACATCGGATAAAGATAAACTTGAGGGTGTTGGCCTCGAAGAAGTTTATGATGCTGCTGCTGTTATATGCTGTGTTCTGTGCAGCGAAGAAGGTTCTTTCGGTGGCTTTCGTTACGGTTGCTCCTGCATGACTGCTTTGTTGTTGGCCATTCCTGAAAGCATACCACAAAGTAAATGTGTACAGCCATACATGCATACTTATATGCGCTGTTTTGCATTGTATCCTCAAAAGGTTCAGAGGAGGAGGTTCATGCGATATAGATAGATTGAAATGGATGGTTTTCTTCCACATTTCTCAAAGCTGAAAGCCTTTTGTTGTTCCTTCTCGTGTTCAAGTTCTTCATTCAGAAGAAAGCATGGTGTTTATAATTGCTGAGTTCTGTGAAACATCGTCACTCTAAATATACGTGAGAGATTTGATCAAATATCCTTTTTCCTTTTGTGTATTACATGTGGCACATAAATGGAATTTCTAATATTACTCTGCTAATATTATACATTTCTTCTAACATCATCAATCAACATGATTGGACGCCCATAGATTTGTTGTCCCAGTGGTAAATGAAGATAATTGGGAAAGTCTCCGCTAGTAGTTCGAGGGATGGCGTGTTTACCAATATAGATCACATGAGCCTCAGATTGTCGAAGGGTGCTTTGAATGTCGGATCGGAATTGCAAGTGTTTGGATCGGGGCTAGAGAGTTTCTCGACCCGAATCCCCGGATGTGAGAGTCTGTGTTAGCGAAATAGCACGCGTCAATGGTATTTGCCATTGGAAAGTTTCCAATAATTGATAAGAGTAAGTGATCATTAATAAATAGAAAAGTTACACGAAATCCTCAGGCATTACTCAGACATGAAGAGATCGGTTCGACCATCTAATATTATGATTAATGATTAATTCGGCCTGATTAGGTACCTAACCAACATGTTAGGCTGATTAGGCATCCAAAGCTGTGTTGTCCGGCTGATGTTGATGACAACAACAACATTACACCATCGATTTCTCCTATCGATAATAAAGCAGCAATCGCAGTTGCATAACATAGTCCTCCACAGAATGTAAGAAAGGTCGTCGCACTACAAGTTTGAGGAGAGTCAGATGGATGTACTTAATAGCTCTACCCCCACAATTTAGATGTTGTTTCTGCGCTTAATATGATGTTTTCCTCGATTCTGCCTATTGCATCCGTGTAGGCTGACCTTCTAAAACATTCAACCATTTTTCTAGATGTGGAGATGCAAAGTACTTAAGAATGTCTCTTGTTAAGAATATAACTTGTTTTTCCTTGCATCAACTGCATCATATACTGTGGCACTTGATGTCTTATTTATGAAATGCATCCATCCATAGGAGTAGTAGGGATCTTATTTGAAAATGTCAAAAACTTAGTCTATACAACTACTAATTAGCATCAAATCATTGCTTCTTTGATTTCAAATTTAACATTGGATTAATTACATATAATCTCAATTGACCTATGTCGTTAGTTATATTGATGCTAAACTTAACACGTGAGATCATGTATTGGATTGGTGCAGAGGAGTGATGGACAAACAGCTAATTTTAATATTTTTTTATTTTTATTAATTTTATAAGTAAAAAAATAATTCTAGCACCATATGTTGAAAAAATATTTGATAATTTTGCTCACCACTTTCATTCGAATACAACACATGATGGTGAAATATTTATTTCACACTATATAGATCTTAATATAATTTTTTTAAGTACAAGACCATAATAGGGACCTATGTAATTAACCTTTTAACATATTAGAATCCTATAATATATATATATATTATTTATTTAATAAGAAATTTGTGATAAAACCTAGTTGTATATATACATATATATATACATATATATATATATATATATACATATATATATATATATACATATATATATATATATATATATATATATATATATATATATGGATGTATATATATGTGTATATATATGTATATTTATATGTATATATATAGCCATGGAAAACCCTCGTTGACTCTTTACAAGACGTTGATGCCGTGGCCCTGTGGCCGTCGCCCCTGCCATCCCGCTAACCCCCTTTATTCCCTTGTTGCACCACCGCCTCCTCCCTCTTCCTTAGCCTCTCGTCATGCTCCCTTTTCCCGCTCGTAGAGGCTCTCTTGACTCCGTCGAGCCGGGTTGCTTTGTCGACACACTCACCTCCTACACCGTCCAGTCCTATGACGTGTTCGAGAGGGCGTGGAGGCCATCCCGTGGGATGATTCCTAAGTGGCAATTTGGCTCCAGGTTCTCGATGCATATCCTGACGGATGCGGAAGATATGTGTTGCTTTGCTGGTTGTCACTCGGCATCGCAACGCTTCTCACGTTGTGAACGTGATTGGACCCTATTGAGAATTTCTCTCCTTTTCCTTTCCCCCTATTATTTCCATGATCAGAGGAGAGAGCTTGTGATAGCAGAGGTGAGTGGTACAAATAAGTATTTATAGCTTCAAGTAAATTTGTGTTCTTGCATTACATGGTTTATCTTAAGTCGTTACAAGGTTCCTATTGGTGGATGTGCATAATTTTAGAGTTGTCGTCGTCTTCTTGGTGTGATCTATTGCAATTACTTAATACAATCATGCTGCTGGTTGTTCGAGGACTATGTTAAATCAATGGAAAGCATTAGCAATTGTAACATCGGCAAGTGTGCTATGATCTGCTTGTGTGCTTCATAATTTTGGGATGGAGCAAATGAGGTTGCAGTAATTTTGCTAACTGAACCGGAACCAAACCAATCAAGAAGTGGAATTGAACCGAGTCAATGGTACAGTGGTTCCGAACTAAACTGGAACTAGTTTTGGTTCGGTTTTGATTCTTAGAATTTGGAATGGAGCCAATGTTTCCGATTTGGTTCTAAACCGGACAAAAGAAAAACCTAATTAAACCATGAATTTGTCCTTCAAGCAGTTTAATAAATGGATAAGTAGAGGGGTATTTTGGAAAAATAAAAAATTAAAATAAACGATTTTGGTTCGGAACCGGAACCACTTGGAAACGGTTTGGTTTTGATTCTAGATTCAGCCAAACCTGAACCGTCGTTTTCGGAACCAGGGTCAGGGCTGCCGTTGCTGTGGACATGGATCACTAATCACCAAATTCTTGTTTTTGCCACTGAACTGTACAAATTTGATTGTTGTAAACGAGTGCAATTAAACTGCATGATCAAGGGCCATTAACCATGGGATCATTAACCAGAGGTCCAGAAATTGCAGCAGTAGTTTGATCTAGGGATGCCTCAGATTGTGGATGCCATAGAAGTTGTTGTTGAGTTCATGGTGCACTCTTCTATGACTCATCTCGTTCATAAGGTGTTGGATGTCTGCAACGAAGAACAAAGGACACTGAGAAAGATACCAATCCAAAACTTTGTGGTTTGTGCATTAGAAAGGTAGATATTGTGAAGTTGGCTAAGTTCAACTATTGGGATGAAAACAAAGTTGGAGTCATCTAAGGAATTTGGCACCAATAGAAGGTTATTAGGCACAATTACTACTCTACCTTAAGAGTCTCATTCAATAAAATAACAATGGGCTCATCAAGGATTTCAACTTTGGATTTTGGGTAAGTCGCTTGTCTATCTGATTAGATATTCTTAAAAGTTTTCTGTAAATCAAAAAAAATTATATTGTTATTTTTATATCAAAAATTGGGATATGTATTTAGTCTTGTTGTTTAGATATAATGAAGCATTATATACTTTGTTTTGAATATGATTCATGTCCTTAATACTTGTAATGCATGTATCATGATATGCCTTCATAATATGTTGGTTATTGAATTGTTGTTCATGCAAAGTTGTTTTAGTTATGAATTACCGGTATGATTATGAATTAATGTTTATGAAGATGCATTTGATGTAACAGAATTCATGTAGTATAAATAAATAAATGTTATACATACGTATATATATATATATATATATATATATATATATATATATATATATATATATATATATATTCCAGTTTTGTTGATTTTTTTTAGATGAGGAAATTACATGTTTCAGACCCAGCTTTAAATGTAAATACAAATCCTGATTTTAGTACAAGCCTAGATGGTGTTGATGACGATCATGAAGTGGTGGAGACCAAAGTGAACGAATGGGTCGAGGCTCCTTTGAGAAAGGAAATAGGAAAATACCAAATTTCTAGACATTAATTTACGATGATTTATTTATTAGTTGCTTTTCTTTAGAATTGAAATTCTTATATATGTGGTTTAAAATTTATGGATTATGTTAGTTTGATTAGGTGATTATGAATTATAATGGAAGACTTGAAGTTATGGTTGTGTTGTATTACATGTTTATATAAATTATGTATGTTTGTGCTAGATGTCATTGGGCTAAGCTAGTTAAGAGCAAAGTTTGTCGTGGTGTACCGCTCGGTACGGGTGGTACCTACCAATCCGATAGGGGGCTGGTATGGGCGGTACATTGGTATGCTCCTATGTATCGTATGTCGATACACTCAGTATTGCGCGGTACAGTTTGGTATGTATTGTATCGACAGTTGGTCGATACACCGGTATAGACCAATAAGATGAACTATGGTTGGAAGTGATGAAGTGAAACTCAAGCTAGTCCAGCCCATGGATGTATAATGGGTTCAATCTCATCCCTATTTCGGGAGCATGATAGAATGCTATTTTATGTGTTTGTCATTTCAATATACCACCACATAAGCCAACCTTGTTAAGTTCTTACCTTAAGGATTAGGTTATAAGTCAGAATGTCTGAGGTGATGAGGAACTATTTGATACATGCATTATTAATTCTACAATTCTTTTTATGTATGTGCTTCTTTTTAATCCATTTATTGGACTTACTTGATTGTTAATTGTTTATCATTTCGTACAATGATCATCCTTGAATCTTGATAACCTATTCTTTTTTGGTTTGCATATGACTTGATTATTTTTGCAAGTATGACAAATATTACCAAACTCCTCGGCCAAAGAAGTATTTGAAACATTCAATGCAACTAAGGCATATTCTTTACTCGTAATACACTTGAATAGTACAAAGAATCATTCGAAGCACCCAGCTTGACTGAGGTATCTTTTGCATGTGATGCATCCACTTAGGACGAGAAAGCATATGATGTATTGCGATCAGGGCGTTCTCTTAGTGTGTGATGCATCCACCCAAGATAAAGAAACATAAGTCACTCGATGCAACTAACGTATCTCCATTGCAAGTGATGTGTTATAGAGGACAAAGTATCCAAATTGTCTAATGTGACTAATGTGCCCACTGTACACATGATGTGCCTGCTCAAGACAAAAAGCATCCGAAGTGCCCAATGCGATGAGGGTGTCTTCTTTGTGCATGACGCATTCGTCAATGACAAATAAGCATTCAAAGTATCCATCATGATTAAAACGTATGATTTTCATGACACATTTGCTTAGGATAAAGAAGCATTTGAATCTCCCCACATGACTAAGGTGTCCCTTTTACTTGTGATGCATCCACTTAGGACGAAAAAGCATGCAACGCGTTTGATGTGACTAAAGAATCCCTTGGCGTGTGATTCATCTGAAGTGACCAATATGACCAAGGCATCTCCGCATGTGATACATCCGCCCATGACAAAGAAACATCCAAAAAACCTAATGCAACTAAAGAGTCTGGGTATTATAATTTAATATTTTATGATTATTTTATGAATATTATAATTTAATCCAAAAAACCTAATCACATAAATGTCATATTTACATAAATAAGCTTTTCTAATCTGGGTATTATAATTTAATATTTTATGATTTGGTCTTTAATTCACCTATTATTCATCGTCCGAGAGGTCGGGCAACAACTTGTCGATCCTTCACCATGGGGATAATCTCATCATCTTACTTGGAACTCTATTTAGTTGTTCCTTTGCATCATCTTGCTCCTTTGTTTCTCCCTTCAAGGATGTGTTGATCCTCGCACAAGAAGAGAAGTTATATAGAGGAAGGAAGAAAGAATGGTGTTGATTAAGTTGCACGAAGTTCTCAAGAGCACGGTGGAGCTACTCACAAGGCCCCGCACTGTTTCTGCCTTCAAGAAGAAGGGCGTCCTTAGCATCTCTGAGTTCATCCTCGCTGGTGATAACCTCGTCGCCAAGTGCCCCACCTGGTCTTGGTTAGCTCCTTTCTTCCTTCTATCCTCTTTGACTAGATTTGATATTTCTTTTGAATTAGGCTTTCTCTTTGTGGATTTGGTTAGGGAGGCAGGCGAGCCGAGCAAGAGGAAGTCCTACTTGCCAGCTGACAAGCAATACCTCATCACGAGAAATGGTAGGCCAGCCATTGAATTATAGATACTCGATTTCTAATTAATGATCATTAATTGGCGTTATGAGATCAGAAAAATGGAATTTTGTTTTCTTATGTTTGCTTAGTTTAATATTTAGACACATTTGTTTGATTCTTGTCCTATCTCATGGTGACACATTTGTTCGAGTCTTGTTCTTTCGTGGTTGTCACTTGGTTACAGTACCTTGTCTAAGGAGGGCTAGTTCAATGGAAGAAGAATACGATATTATAGGAGAAGAGATTCTTTTTGATACTAATGATGAAGATATTATTGGTTGGATAGTAACTCATCGGAAGCCAAGAGGTAATAAAAATCAGTATTAGAATTTTATTTATTTTCGTATATTATGCTTTTATATTTGATAATTTATGCATTTGAATTTTTCAGAGATCAAGCATTATAAGGAGGAAGCTATACCTTCCATTGAGTCTGTGGAAATTGACAAACGTGAGACTGTCACGTTCAACCCCATTTATTTTGCTGTTGAGGAGGAGGAAGACATACCTGACATGGCAGATTCTGAGAAAAAGACAGAAACAGTAAATGCATATTTTTATATCTAATAATTCATTGGTGTCTTCTGAAACACTACAAGCTTTTTACGATTATTTTACGTATTTATGTGATTCTGATGATTTATTTTCTGTCAGGAGCATACAGTCTCAGCATGAAGGTTCATTTTGCTATTATATTTTCTCCCTCAGGAAAATAGTTATATGACATTATCATTCTCATATATGGTTATGCTGGTCTGTGGCAATGCTGTCACAACAAAGTAATCAATACAAAATTTTTCGCTAAGTAAGATATTGATTATCATCTTACATATGAGAGGCAGTATAGAGGTTTGTTTTGGTAGGATACAATATATAAATATGTTTTGATATGCCAACATTTGTGGGGAAGGATAGTGACGTTCCTATCTTTTATCAAGCAGTGTTGTATTTGATTAATCAAATGATAATATTTCTTATATACTTTTAGTCAATATCTTAACATTTATGTAGGTCCTACTTGTCCAGGAACTTATGTTCCAATTTTTTTTTAATTAGCCATGTCACCATTTTATTCATCAAGTAGGCCTGTCATAAAGAATGATACAACTGGAAATGGGTCGTGAATGTAACATATTCTCCACAAATTAGCGACTGATTAAGGAAGTTGTGGACTATAAAGCGGCTTAAGGAAATTGTGTAAGAAATCTCTATTATAGAAAACCATATTGATACAGACTTGGTCATGTATCATCAGCTAGTTATTGGCCATGCTGTAGCAAGAGGAAAGGAGAAAGTGGAGATTTTGGTCCCAAGGATGCAAAATAGACTTTTTATCTAGTCCAATTGAATTGATTACTTAGTTTTGAGTTTTATTAATTAAGTTGAATATATTTTTGGTTGGATTTTCATCTTTTCCTTTGGAATGCAATTTTCTAAGATTAGGATATAAATATGTGTGTGTGTATTCATATATATATATATATGTATATATATGTATTTATGTATGTATGTATTTATATGTATATGTATATGAATACATATACACATATACATACATACATACATATATGTATATATATTGTTGGTCCAAGATTGTTACATTTCACCTTTAGAGTTTCCTGAATATGCCTAAATTCATCAAAGGAAGGCAAACAAGAAATAGAAATCCTCGTCCAATTCAAGGATCACTATAGAATGGACGAATGAAAAGTAACTGCATGATTTTTTCTCAAATTCATAACTTTAATTGGAGGTTTTTTTGTGTCTTATTTACCCATTTGAGTTGTTTATAACTTCCTGCTTTTTGTATGTTTGCTGCCAAATTTTTTGATCTATGAATGTGTATGCTGATATACATATCTTGTTTAACTATTATATAGTACTCGTTATGAGCTATGTTGCTTTGTTTTCAGTAATGTTTTAGCTTAAACCTTTACCTATCTAGAAGCAATTTGCAGTGCCCATGACAATTTCAAATAATTGCAGGTCATCCTTCCATCAACTCATCTTGTTGCAAATGAACTTGAGGATGACAAAATTCTTCGGACTCGAACATATGACGTTAGCATAACGTAAGTATTTTACTTGCGAAAATACTCTTTTAATTTGAGTAATCTACTTTCTTTCACTAGTTTTTAGTGTCATATAACTTCTGTACGTAAAGATTTTATTTAAAGGTAAAAAAATTTCTGCAAACATGAAAATCCTGTTACATGTTTTATTAAATACAAGAAATTCACACAAACACCTCGCTTTTAGCTGTACAACGCCATTTTGGATCTTTTGCGTTCAAGAGTAAAATTTTAGAACTTACCTTCACTCTACGTGTGTTGCACATCTAACATTGTGACTTGCAGGTGTTGAAACAAGTTAGAGACCTCAGAGTTAATACCTTTTTTCTCAAAAGGATAAGAAAAATATATCGGACGGGGTTTTGAACCCTCAACCTTTGCTAAGGCTAAGTGGGTTTGGTGCGCAAAAAATATATCGATTGAGGTGAGATGTTTAAACAAATTAGAGACCTCATAGTCAAGAGTTACTTTCACTCTTTAGCCCTTTAGAAGACGAGGAGTGTCAAGAATCAGATCTCCTCATAGACAGTTGTTTAACAATGCAAACAAGATACCAAGAGACTAGAAGTCATGTGGTATGGTGAAGATAAGAAAGAAGTAGGTAAAATCAATATGGAGATAATGCAAATGATGTAGAAAAAGAAAGGAACTCTGTTAAGAATCAAGGAGAGAACATGGAGGAAAATAATTTAGAGCATAAAACAGTTAATGTTTGGTCAAACAGAAATGACATGGGAGAGAGGGAGAGAGAGAGAGAGAGAGAGAGAGAGAGAGAGAGAGAGAGAGAGAGAGTTGGGAGATGTGGGAAGTGCTGAAAATGAGCTCTTTTGTTTACACCGCAGGATCGATACAGTATCTGACAGCTTGCTTGCATTGGATTAATCCTTGTTAACTTTTTCTTGTTTCAGGAAGAAAGAAAAGATATTAAGCAATCATAAGGGGCCCACATGTGATCACTCTGCAGATAGTCCATCATGTGCAACTGATAAGTTTGAAGGGGTCAGATGTACTTAGCTCAACCCCCACAAGTAGAGGTTGTTCTATGATTGGCCCATTATGCATAGGTTGCTCAATTTTACCTTTGCATCGAGGCTGACCTTCTAAAATATTCAACCATTTCTCTCGATGTGCAAAGTATTTTAGCATATAATTTATTTTTCCTTGGCTGAACTATATCATAAACTGTAGCACTGAATACCTTATTTATTCAATGCATCCATAAGACTAGAAATGATCCTTCATTAAAAATGTTAAAAACCTAGTCTATTCATCTACTAATCAGCATTGAATTGAATTTTTGCTTCTTTGGCTTCCATCTTAGCAATTCAACTTGTAGATGTCCATAAGTTACAACCTTAATTTGCTTTAATATTGCAAGCATATATTTAGTTAAATCACAATATACTTTTAAAATGCTATTTTATGTGTTTGTCTTGAAAATGCTATTTTTGTAATAATCATCTTTGAATCTTGATATGTTTTATTTGATTTTGTAGGTATGACAAATATTATCAAACTCCTCATGTGTGGCTAACTGGATATGATGAGGTTGTTCCACTCCAATGATGCATCTTCATGATATAGTTTAAATTAGCATGCTATTTAAAGTAGTTTTATGGCTTCTTCTTTGATGGTATAGTTTTCATCTTTATGAATTTTATAATTAACTCACAGGCATTTAGCAGTCTACTATTATAAACTGACCTACTAGTCTATCCATGTTAACAGCAATTTCGCAATGTACTTTCTGAAGCCCCTGTGTCAGAAATTATGTATTATGAACTCATTTGATAAGACTGATATAGGGTAAGTTGCCGATACAAAAGAAGTAATATAATTCTAGTAAAAAATGGAAAGTCTTGTCGTCATATTTTCTTCTATTGGTTGCAATTAGTTGGAGCATGATTTCTCTACTTTCAATTTATACATGACGCTAGCATGGTGGGATACAAATTTCCTTTTCTTTTCATCAAAATGATCAGTGTCGCGGCTGGAGTGTCGATTGTAACTTCATGTGCTATTCTCGACAAAGCTGCATAGAGTCTGAGGCATTAAGATTTACTTGTTACTTTATAGACTATATTAAAATATTAGGATGTTGATGATTTTGGTTAATCCTCTTCATATTCTGGTATTCTGTTTCAGTGGAGGATGCCTTTGCAGCCAGAACTTATATTTGAAGATGTGAACGAAGACCACACACAGAAAACAGTAATGTCATTGTTCTAATCTCTACATTGCATCTGATTTAATGTGTTTCCCATAAATACTAATTATGCTGAAAACTTGATAAGATGTGTAACCCTGGAACTTCAATGGACTTGAAGATATGAGTGTATACTTTAGCATGAGAAACGGATCTGCCTTAAATTTGGCTGGACTTATGGATGAAAAATTACCATCTTGCATCTGATTTTCATTGTTGGAATTCATCGTTTAACAATTTAGGGTTAGGATATGTTTAGGTGCCAAGACAAAAGCTATTTATGCAAGAATTGAAGCATGTTATAACATCTGTTAAAATGTGCAAGTAAGTATTTGATTTAAAAAGTGGTGCAGAGGTAAAGTTGGTTAGTTTTTCATATAATGGTCTTGTTCAAAGAGTTGAAACAATACAATTACAGGACAACAGGCATGTACTTTTGGAGTGTTGTTTATATCAGAATTGTGGTCTGCAAAATATTCCCCCCCAAAAAAAAGATTCTTCTTTAATACTATTTAGGTTCCACATTGTATATGATTCTCATAGGCCTTAATATACTTCGTTTTTCCTTTCTTTTAATTTTAGGTTTATGCTCTTTTCTTTACATTCAATCTAAACCTTGTTTCTATTCAAAGAGCCTCTTGAAAACTCTCTTTCTTTTGCATCCTCATGAATGAAATGCCATTTTTGGGGATTTTTGTCCCTTTGTTAGACCTAGTCTTTTCCTCGTGTTAAGCTTAATTTTCATCTGGTTATTAATTTCGTTATTTGGAAATTGACAGGTGACAATTGAAAATCATCCTCATTTGTGCCTGAAGCATGCATCTGTACATCCATGCCGTCATGCCGCTGTCGTAAAAAAAATGCTGGATGTTCTCATATCACGCGGAATTGAACCAGAAGTTGACAAGTAACATTTTTCTTATGTTTGTCACTCTGCTTCTTGCCCTTAGTAGGGGAGCTAAGGCAGCTCGTGTTCGTGCATTGTCATGTCATGCTCCCCTACTCAATGTTCCACTAGTTAATATCGTTAAACAGCATCACAAGGGTTGATGAAGGAAGGAGTGACTCATAATTCTCTCTTCATTCTTTTGCAGGTACCTTTTCTTGTTCTTGAAGTTTATCTCCTCAGTGGTTCCGACGATCGAGTATGACTACACAATGGACTTTGATCTTTGAAGTTCCAGTCACCAACAAGAGACATGAACCCTGCCACGTGAGGTACTTATACAGCATGATGATATGCCCAATTAGTGGCACATGCTCATCCAACTTTATATGGAGCTTAATGAAAGATTCTTCTTTTTGTGGTCAGCGACAAAGATTTGTATAAGCTTATGTTGTATAATAGTCATAATGATACTATTGAACGGTAGATGTGATAGTCACAAAGCTAGATTAGATTATGTTTTTTGCAGGATTGAGATGTCAGTGGTGGAATTGTAATACTCCATTCTGGTCAAACATTGAATGCTAGAGGATGTTTGAATTGGATTATAGGGGTTATCTCATTGAGTCGAATCATGAGAAGTTATATTAGAGAAGATCTGAGGTTTGGTAATATTATATCGTTTTTCTGATATTTAATGCAATTTAAGTTAATTGGATATTACGAATGGCAAATCATCATAGTCTGTGAGATTGACGTAATCGATGGATATGATCTTTCCGGGTATGATTCTGGGCCTGTGCGGCGGGTGTGAAAAGCATTTCAAGAAACAAGGCATCGCGAGGTCCTTTTGTAACTAACCATCGCGAGGCCTTTGTCGTTCCGGCCGTTTTCCCTCCAAACAGGTCACCCTAATCCTCATCCTGCGTCCTCCCCCCGCCGCGGTCTACGCGTCCGCCGAGCTCCCTCGCGGTCGCCTCGGTCACCATCGTTCCGGCGTCTCCTTTGCCTTTCATCAAGCGGTCGTTTCGGCGTCTCCTTTGCCTTTCATCAAGCAGTTCCGCGGCAAAATGATCGTGGTCAACTACGTCTTTCATCAGCGACCTCGTTCTTCTTTCGTGCGACGGCCTACGCCCCATCCTCGTCCATGATGACCACCCGGAGATCGACTCCTCGCTCCTCCGTCTCGTCATGAGGAACACAAACTTGGCTGACTTTGTGGTCCAAGGTTCAATTTAGTTAGTAATTACATGGTGCAGATTGATCATATTAAATTGTTGAGGTCAGGTGCCGAAGGTGAAGGCACATACCAAAACAAACTTATATACTGCCGTCTAAATGGAAGCTGATAATTAATGTTTTACTGAAAGTGTTACACATTGGTTGCTTTGATGTGATTTAGATGATAACAAAATGACATGCATTGATAGTGTATGATTGTGACAAAAGAAAAAGAGTAGTTAGAATTGTTAGATTATGTGACCCTATTTAATTGATAAGATATATTAGATCTGATTGGATTATAATGAAAGTTATTAGTCAATAGAAAGAAAGTTCAATTATGATAGGATTTCTTACGAGAGAGAAACTCTCATAATTACTTATTCTAGATCCTTTGCTCTTGTCTATATATAGACAAAACCTTTTATATATGAACATGATAGATCTACATTTGATGATTTCTAGAAACTCCATGAAAGATAGACCTTCCTTCTTAGAACTTTTGGTATCAAAAATTCAAATGTACAAGTTATCAAATGTAAAAGCACATTCAAATATTGATTATTCTCTACCTTGGCATCATCGCATGAGTCATCAATCAATCACCATTGTCAACATCATCATTATCATGAAGCACTTTCCCTTCTATAGCATTGTATTCTTCTTCCATTGAACTAGCCTGCCAATAGACAACAATCATGATTGGTTAGACAAGAGCCAAAACAAATGGGTCTAGTTATTAAATTGGTTGAACATGAGAAAACAAAACGTTATCTTTCTGATCTCAGAACACCAACTAGCAATCATTAATTAGAAATAGAATATTTTTAATTCGATGGTTAACGTAATAAGGTATTCCTTGTCAGCCGTCGAGTATGACTTCCTAATCCTTAGCGCTAAGCCTACCTCGCTAACCAAATCCGTGAAGAATAAAAGTAATTCAAAATAAATTTTGAATCTAGTCAAAGAGGGAAGGAGGAAGAGAGTGGCTAACCAAGAGTAGGTGGGCTGCTTGATGATGAAGATAGGTGAGGTTATTACCAAGTGCTCTTGGGCGTCAAGTGCCTCACCTGGTTTGGGTTAGCCTCTCCTTTCCTCCTCTCTTCTATGACAAGATTCTATATTTCTCTTAAATTGGGTTTTGCTCTTCGTGGATTTGGTTTAGGAAGGTGGGCAAACGAAACATAAGGAAATCATGCTTTCTTTCTGACAAGCAATACCCTGTCATGAAGAATGGTATACACATCATGTGGGTATAGATACTCTCTTTCCAATTAATAGTCACTACTTGGTGCTACGAGATCAGTAAATAGAATTTTGTTTAGGGTTTAGGGTTTATGAGATTAATAGTCACCTTAGATTAGGGTTGTACCTAATCTAAGGTGAGCTAGTTTGAAGGTTCTTTTTTATAATGGTGATTGGTTGGTAACTCATACACTGTTAAAAGGTAAAGCAAAAAAATTAATATTTGGATTTGATTTGTTTTATTACACTTTTACTTTTACATTTGGTTATTTGTGCATATAAATTTTTAGAGACCAAGAGTTCTAAGGAGGAGGAAGGTCTATCTTCTATGGAGTTTTTGAAAATCAACAAAGGTGGAGCTATCAGGTCCATCCTTTTATTTTGGTGCTGAGGAGGAAGATATACCTCACATGATGGAGTATGAAGATCGCAACTTCATCAAGACATCTGGCAAGTGCACATATTCGCGAGAAACACTATTACCTTGTACAATATTCTTATGTGATTCTCATAATTCATTTTTTATTATGGGCATGCACTCCAACATGTGGGGTCATTTTGTCATCACATTTTAACCCTTAGGAAAATCGTCATATGTCATTATTATTTTCATATGATGATGCTGGCTTATGACAGGAATATGGCAGCACAGTAATCGATGGATAAATCATTGATTATCATCTTAAGTTTGTTTTAGTATGCTACAACATGTAGATTTGTTTTGATATGCCAAAATTTGTGGGTTTTGTTATGATTTAGATGACCCTGTAAATGCTGAGAAAATGATTTGAGTCTTTCATAGAATATTAAGTAGCATCATTTTATGTAAGAGGGATAGCATGCAAGACTGTTTCAGTATGTTAATATTGGTGGGGCCTTATCATATTTAAATTAAACCAACTTATGGTGAGGAAATGAGCTAAATCTCAGTGGGTTTAGGATTTGAATCTCTTCTAGGAATAAACTGAAGTACTAGATGGAAGTACAAACCTAATGCTCTTTAGCATTTGTCATAATTGGAGATCAATGTAGATTTGTTTGGATTAGCAGCTAATCGTCTATGTAAATCAATTTGATTATCTTATTTTGAGTATGTATGTTTCGTCATATTAGTCCCTTTTGTGGCATTTGGGATCGTTATGGTCAGGCTTGGATTTGTTTAAATCAATGACTATATTGATTTCCTGTTTGTTTTATGTGTTTAAGAGTCAACTAATTTCTCCCTTTCTTATTGTTGGCAAGCTGCAGATATCCATTTTTATTGGGTAATTATTGGGACAAATTTACACAGTAGTCCTGCATTACCTAAGTATGTTGCTGGTTAAATAGACTGTGGGGAAGGATAAGTCTGGCTGTGATGTTTCTATTTTTTCGCTAAGTAGTGTTGTATTTGATTAATCTAATGGTAATATTTCTTATAAACTTGTAGCCAATATCTTTAAATTTTATGTAGGTCCTACTTGTCAGGAAACTTATGTTTGAAACTTTTTTTTGTTAAATTGGCCATGTCACATTAGCCACTGATCAAGGAATCTATGGAGTACTAAGCAGTTTAAAGAAATAGTATGTACTTAAGTGGTCACGTATCATTTGCTGGTTGTCAGCCATGGTTCTGGGACATATACTGTGGAAAGAGGAAAGGAGTGAGTGGAGATTTTGGCCCCATATCTTGTCTTATGATCATGTCACTGAAAGTTGTTCTTAGCTAATAAATGAAAATATTTGCATCAAACACATTGCTAGTCATCCTTTTCGGTAGACTTAATTTTCTGCTGCTATTTCTTTTCATCCCAAACATGCCTTCGGTTGTCATGATCATTGTTTGACTAGTTAATATCATGAATGATGAATCAGCTTCCTAAGGCTGGATGCAGCAATGTGTCATGATGCTCTCTCATTCTTTTGTAGGTAGCTTTCTTGTTTTATCACCTCGGTGGTTCCTACAATCTGAGTATGACTACACAATGGACTTTGATCTTGGTGTTCAGGTACGGCCTCGTTTTTTTTTTTAAATAATTTTCATTCATTACGTCAAACGATATACAAGACGGGCATGTCGACTTGAACATTAGACGTATCGACTGTGCAACAGTATACTAAGTTCCTAACCACTAGATGTGTCAACAGAGAAAAGAGTTGTGCTCTATGGTTGGTTATATTTAGTGTCGTGAAAAGGAATTTGTGTGCTATTGATGGATTCCTATTGCATGTTCTTGGGAGAAGGATAATGGTCTCATGACATAACAGGAAAAGCACCTCATATATGCCTTCATTGTATCAGATTGAAGCAAGCATGCAGAAGGCTTGAAGCAATTTATATATGCCTGTCTGCTTATAGTAAGCATTGTACTACATACTACAAACTACACATTTGTGTGTGAATCATATCACACTTTGTGAAGTCATGTTTTTGAACTCCATATGATTAGCTGAGCAGTTTGCCATTTGAAATTATGTACTTTTGCAAACGAAAATGGGTTCATATCATAGCATCAAGGGTTTATGCAGTTAGTGAAAGATGATTCTTCTTTGTCCTCTTGTTTTTGGGGTTTGGCTAGCATGTTTTTTTGATCAGTAACTATGATGACTAGGGACTTTCTAGTTCAAACGGTAACCTTATTTTCATCATATCATTATTTTTTTGTGCATTGTGATAATTACTTTTCTAAGATTCGTCTCTTCATCTTCACCGTGGATGAGCTTATATAACATACTATTGATCAGTAGTAAATGTGAATGCCATAAAGTTAGATTAGATTTTGGTTTTGCAGGGTTGAGGTGTGAGTATCGTATTTGGGCTTTTGGCTTGGGATGCTCTAGTTTAGGTTCACATCAGATACAATAGAAGATTTGACTCTGGTTATGGGGTTAGATTGGTTCACTATTGTTTATGAGGTTAATTATTTTGGATTCGAGCTTTTGAGCTAACTTGCAAGTATCTCATCCAATTGAATCTACATATTTACTATAAAAGATTATGCATGGATAATATTGGAGGCACATACCAATCTAGATCGTGGAACCAATGCAGTCACCATGAGGAATAATATATACAATCTTATTCCAACACATATTAGTCAATAAACCAATGAAATTATACAAAGCATCAGTGGCATGACAATGGTTTCATTATTAAGATACTGCGTCGTTCATGAAATATGTAATGCAGATTAGTTAAATGAATATTATGAATAGCATATCATCGACGTTTGTGAGATTGACGTGATCGATGGAGATGATCGTTCCGGGTATGATTGTGGGTCGCCGTGCTGAGTGCGAAACAAATTTCCATGAAGGAAGATATTTTAGGGGTAATTTTGTAACTATATATTGAGACGGGTATACTTGCAAAGAGAGATGTATTCCCGCTTCCCCGGGCGGTGACCGCATCACATCCTGCCTTTTTCCTCCCCTGTTCGTTCGGTAATCCTATCGAACACCTCTCCGGCGTCACGATGGTCGTCGCGCAAACCACTACGACTCCCCTCTGCGGCCGCCTTCCCTTTAGATCCCTCCATAAAGATGACTTTAATCCTAATCCCAGCTTCCTTCCCGCGCGGTCGACCCGTCCGAGCTCCCTCGCCGCCGCCGCCGCCTCCGCCTCCGCCTCCGCCTCCGCCTCCGCCTCGATCACCACCGTTCCAGCGTCTTCTTTGCCGGTCGTGCAATCGCCGGCCCAGGCGCGGGTCGACATCCTGTCGGAGTCTCTACCCTTCATCCAGCGGTTCCGCGGCAAGACCATCGTGGTCAAGTACGGCGGCGCCGCCATGAAGTCCGCCACCCTCCAGTCGTCTGTCATCAACGACCTCGTTCTCCTCTCGTGCGTCGGCCTCCGCCCCGTCCTTGTCCATGGTGGTGGTCCGGAGATCAACTCTTGGCTCCTACGTCTCGGCCACGAGCCGCAGTTCCACAATGGGCTCCGCGTCACCGACGCCCTCACCATGGAAGTCGTTGAGATGGTCCTCGTCGGCAAGGTCAACAAGTCTCTGGTCTCTCTCATAAACAGCGCCGGCGGCACCGCCGTTGGCCTCTGCGGCAAAGACGCGCGCCTCCTCACGGCCCGCCCTACCCCTGACGCCGCTGCCCTTGGCTTTGTCGGTGAGGTTGCGCGCGTCGACCCGGGTATCCTCCGCCCCGTTCTGGCCGACGGTCACATCCCCGTCATCGCGTCCGTGGCTGCGGATGAGAATGGGCAGAGCTACAATGTGAACGCCGATACGGCTGCTGGGGAAATTGCAGCCGCAATGGGGGCTGAGAAGCTGATTTTACTGACGGATGTGGCCGGGATCTTAGAGGATCGGAATGATCCTAACAGCCTTGTGAAGGAGATTGATATCAGTGGGATAAGGAAGATGGTGATGGAGAAGAAGGTGGCCGGGGGAATGATCCCCAAGGTGAACTGCTGTGTGAGGTCGCTCGCCCAGGGGGTGCGAACTGCTAGTATAATAGATGGCCGGGTTCCACACTCTCTGCTCCTCGAGATTCTGACGGATGAGGGCGCGGGGACGATGATCACTGGGTGAGTGTGACGGTGCAAGCCATGGAAAGCTTGAGCTTGTGATAGTACTACTAGGAGAGGTACTAATTTCTACTTCTTCTTCAACTTCCTAAGATTACAATATACCATGCATCAATGCTAGAACTAGTAAGATATCAGTATACTGTGGATCGTAGTCTATGATAATTGTCATGCATGACCATGTTTCCTTTCTTACTTGTCGTCACTCTGTCTGATAAATTGAATGCAGTAGGGCAAGTTGTTTTATCAGAATTACTAAAGCTACTGAGCAACTTATTTATGGTTTATTCAGTATAATCTTTCATAATTCTTCCTCTCTATTATCATATTTTAGCATTTTCCTTTTAAAAAATTAAGCTTTTGCTGGGCCTGCACGACATCGTTTGGGATGAGTATACCAAGAAAATTTTCTCCCCATCACTTTAATATCCAGTACATGGATATTTATGTCTACCTTTTGTGCAGCATTAGGATAGGGCAGGAAAAAAAAAAAAAAAAAAAAAATAATATATATATATATATATATATATATATATATATATATATAT